AAAGTGGCCCAGCAGAAAAGGACCTGGGGGTGCTGGTTGAGAGTTGGCTGAACATGAACCAGCAGTGTGCCCAGGTGGGCAAGAAGACCAATGGTATCCTGGCCTGCATCAGGAGTAGTGGGGCCAGCAGGACCAAGGCAATGATTTTCCCCCTGTACTCAGCACTGGTGAGGCCACACCTCAAGTGCCGTGTCCAGTTCTGGGCACTGAGAGGCTAGAGAGCGTACAGAGAAGGGCAACGAAGCTGGTGAAGAGGCTGGAACACAAGTCATGTGAGAAGCAGCTGAAGGCACTTCAGTTGTTTAGCTCGGTGAAAATGAGACTCAGGGGATATATTATCATTCTCTACGACTACCTGAAAGGAGGCTGGAGCCCGGTGGGGGTTGGCCTCTTCCCTGAGGCAATGAGTGACAGGACAAGAAGAAATAGCCTCAAGCTACAACAGGGGAGGTTCAGGTTGCACATTAGGAAGAATTTCTTCATGCAAAAGGTTGTTAAACGTTTGAATGGACCACCCAAAGAGGTGGTAGAATCATCATCCCTGGAAGCATTTAAGAAACCACTGGACATGGCACTTAGTGCTATGGTCTATGTGTTTGGTCAAAGGCTGGACTTGATGATCTTATATGTCTTTTCAAACCTAAATGATTCTGTTCTCTGTGATTCTGTGAGCTGTTACACAGGCAGGGGAAGAACCTGAGGTGCTACAGCTGCAGGGGGTTTCTTCAAGACTTGGCAACTGTGCCCAAGGTGTCACAGTCATGTCTTAACTGTAGTGAGCAGTTTGAAGGAGTAATAAGCCAGTCAGTAGATTAAAAATGACAGAAGAGATTTTAAAATATTTGAATACAATTTCAGCAAGTTAGTATTGGCCTACCAGAAGTTCACATTAACAAAACTAATGCAGAAAGTAGTGTTAGAACAAGGATATGTACAACCTAAAACCATATCAGATCATAAAAGGATTTAAGCTATGTTCAGCTGAAATAATTTGACAGCAAAACTAAAATTATATCAGAAAATAAGGAAGCCATATCTGCAGGGATGGAGGAAGAAACTGTCTGTTAAAAAAAGAGCATGTGTCTAGCCTCATGCCATGTGTCTCCAACAGAGATTTACAATTTTGCATGCCTGCCAGCTGTGATGACATCCTCCAGAGAGGAAAAAGTAGAAGGCATAGAGCATTTTAAAGTACTTTTTGGGCTGCAGGTCCATTTTAGGATTCAGCTAGGTGCTGTTATTGTCACTAGCAGCTTTAGAGACCCTGTGTATGTCAGAACTAAGGTTCAGCTATGAGTAGGGATTTGGTCACCAAGAACCATAGGGATGGATATATGTTGCCTACATCTGTTGAATATGCCTGCTGGGAGGGATGCAGCACATATGGTGGCAAACCCCATCCTCCCTGTGCAAGCTGCCCTGTGCTTTTCATCCCCCCAGAGCATTCTGAGTGGGATCTGGTTTACTACCTCACATAAAGTAATGCATTTTGTAGGCACTCCCCCACTGGAGATGTGATGTGAGTTTTTACATGCCAAACATAAGCAATGTTGATTAGTTCCTGGCAAGCCAACTGCCCAGAGCAGGAAGGGCAGGAGTAATGGATTGCTTTAGAAAACCCTTTGCATTTCTTTCCTCGGAGAGCCTTTTGATTCCCAGTCTACTTTATGTGGTACAAGATGAGGTGAAATGAGATTGGCAGTAACAGCGGAATTCAGTGGCGAGGCTGCAGTGGAGGCAGCTGTAAGAGGCCACTGGACCAGGCAAGGCGAGTGTCTGGGCAGCAGCTGCTGGCTCCTTCTCCTTCCCTCCAGCTGCCAGCGCCCGGGGGCAGCAGTCAGCTGCAGAGCGCTGCAGAGAGCTGCCAGCCTTCACACCCACCAGCTCCTCAGCCACACACAGAGGGAGAGGGCTGTTTTTGGTTAGGCTTCCAGTCTGAACTCCGGGCATTTCATGCTTGGATGTTTTACTTTCCTCTACGTAGCGCACTTGGTTTTTGGATGTGGTCCAAATACATCTGTAATAAGAAATAGCTTTCTGGCAAATACAAGAGATCTCCGAAAATTTCAGAGCAAGCTGTCAGATTAAAAGCATAGCTAGCCATAAACTGCAGCATGCAGAATGAAGACATGCAGAAACAAGGCTGCAAAAAACATGTATATTTACTCAGAGTGTGGGTTCAGCAGACCTTAAATGTTTTGTATAGGGTTCTTTTGTTGAAATATAGTTCTTACACTTACTTCTTTCTTTTGCTGTCTTAGACACAAGTGAAATTCTGGAAATGTTCTTGCTTCACAAGAGGGTGATTGTTAAGGAATAGGCATGCTGATAGGAACAGTTTAAACTTACAAAACATTACATGATACCAAGTTGATGGTGTCAACCACCAAGTTTTGTTTTGGGTTTGATCTTACTGTGCCTAGCGGTTAAGGCGCGGCACTGTCAACGCCGAGACCCGGGTTCAATTCCCAGTCGGACACTCCCCCGGGCAGATGGAGCTCGTTTGCCCTGTAAGGCAATCCATCTACATCCTGAGGACCTCGCTGCCACCGTCCAAGCTCGTTTGGCCCCGGCAGATGAACCTCAGGATTAAAGGGTGGGCTCAGTTCTGTGCACACTGTGTCTCACCTAAAAAATCCAATGCACAGGCTGGAAGGTATAAAGACCTTCCCCGGTTCTTCTTTCGCAAAGACTGGCCATTACTTTTACTATGCCTCAGAGTTATAAGATTTCATTTCTGTTCTTACCATTACCACAAACTTAGCTTAGTGTTTCAGAAACACCTTTTAGATGTTTCAATTTTCACAGTCCTGCTTTCAGATATTGGAAACATATTTAAGCACATGGAGACTCACTGGTTGGACTGAAGTTCAGGAAGAAATGCAAGAAGGCAGAGTCACTAAAAGTAAAAAATCAAGCGCTGGGACGTACCAACCTGAGGTGTACAAATGTCACAGCTCAGCAGTGTAACTGGGTTAACAAATGGTTTTGTTGCTGGCAAATCTAACTCCTTCAACAAAGTGATCATTTGCAATAGTACCCTCAGTCCTGACTGAGGTCTGAAGTCACAGTCACAAGTGGGGGAGCGTCAGCTTCGTGCTGGGGACTGAGCACAGGAAAAAGGACCTGCTGTTTTTCCTGCTCACCTCCTTCCCCACCACTGAAATACCACCGAAAATCAATTGGCCTTTTGAACTTTCAAACCAACTGAAGTTAGCACTTTGTAAAGTCAGTGCCTCACATCATGAGTACTGAACCTTTAGTTATACCTTTTCCTGGCTAAGCAGAAATCTAAGGCAATTCACCTGTCTCAAACATTAATCAGAAATGAAAGTAGCAAGTTGGTGAGCAGAGATGGGTATTATTTTAACTGCTCCTATGTGCTCTTCAGCATTAGATTCCTTTTCCTGACATTACCCTGGGCCTTAGAAGAGACTCCCACTCCTGTATCCAACCAGACAAGTGTAAAGAAAACTTTTTACTTTGGTCGATTTGCAGCAGTACCAGACATTGTGACAGGGTCCCTCCCTCCTGACACGAGGGCTGCTATAAAAGGTATTACTGCATCAAATAATAGGTATTACTGCATCAAGGAAGCTTGCATCAAAGCTGCAGTTCCTTCCCTGCTTAAGGAAAACTCCCCATTTTTAGTAGCTTTGGCAAGAATATGTATTTTTTTTTTACTATTAATATTGCCACCTGTGCCACTAATAACCCCACAGAGAGGCTACATTTCTTTTAAGGAAGTTTTCAACAGAAGTAATTCTTAAAGGGCTAATAGTCTGCTATGGCATCTGGTGTGGAATTGAGCATGGATGCATTTTCATTCCTTTTTTGATTTAAAGAGTAGCATAACTATGGAGACAAGTGTGTAAGGCCAATACACTGCTTCTCATTGGTAGCCACCGCTTCAATACCCACAGCAGTCAAAGGAGTTGTACATTGTTGCCCTTCTGGAACAAGAAGGAATGGAAGAAAGAAGTCTTTATTTAAGCAGAGTGTTGCTAATAGTGATAATTGTTAATTTATGTTTTCACACTTCAGAGTAAGCTGTATTTTTACTTTGATAATTCCACGCTTACATAAAATACCAGGGAAGCTTTGGCACAGTCCTCAACTAAAAGCTGTCCTAAGTGATAGATCTTCACTACAGGAATAAACATCTTCTTTCTCATGTACTGTAGTGGAAGCAGCGTCATTCCTCCTGCAAGCCTGAAAGAGCCAAAGGGAGGTTACTATTGTGCTTATTTTTGTTAAAAGGAGTTTATCTCAAGTAGATCTCCACCATCTCTGACTCATAGAATAAGAATTAATCTGTCATCATCCCCTTCCCATCCACTGGTTTCCCCTGCACAGCTGTTGCTTTGCTATTCCACTTTGCAGAACCACAGAATTCAGTGATCTGTGATCACTTCTACATCTCCTGCATCAGGAACTGTCTTCAAAGGTCACAGCACCTCGAAACCACACTGCAGACAGTGTATCATTGTTTGTAGACTTGAGCTGTATCAGTTTGTATCCGGATTAAGAGACGAATTTCGTTTACCAGCATTTCCTCACTGTGCTGGACCCTCACGAGCTTCCTTTTCTTGGTTTACTTCTTACCTGCTGTGATTTCTTCAAAATTTCTTCTTATTTTGAAGGAAGTTTCTACTCTTTTGAGGATGACCTTTCTTTTGATGGTATTAGATCACATCAGTGCCGATGACCACAGGGCTGTTTAGCCAGGCTGTCCAACTCTTGCTGGCAAGACACTTCTGCAAGTGACATGAATCACAGGTTTCCTTAAACTTCCAGGCTCAGAAGTCATACTGATTTCTTCATGATGATTAAAAACTTCAGTCTTTATCAGCAGGGCTCTATGTCTTTTCCCCAGAGAGCAGGCATGATTTGTATTAGATGACATCACTGCCACAAGTTTATCTCTTGTCACTGGAAGTCTTTCCTGAGTGAGACTGTTGGTAAGATATTTTCCAAATGAGAGCCATAAGCCTGCTCCCATATAGCTGCTTGCTTTGAAGTAAACAAGCAAGTCAACCCACAAGCTGGCTTTTTTCTTGCATTTTTGAGCCATCAGTTTGCAAGATATCTATAAATAGCTCAGATTCACCTTAAATAAATGCAAGTAATTGACTGCATATGGAGGGTGCACTTGTCTGCTCCAAACTGATTTACATGGAAAGGTGCTTCGACCCTCCCAAAAAAGTCTTCCAGCAGCACCAGCATTGCAGACAGCAGTTAACACCAAAGGAAGGCCAGTTCCCCCTGCCAGGCTATAGTTTTGAATATAAAAGCCCTATTTCCTCTCCAAAAAAAAGAAGGCTAATTGTAGTAAGCCACACACACAGCAGTTCCCAAAAGGCAAGAAAAGTACCAACAGGAACTGAGTTCTTCCAGATCACATCCTTTCTATCCAGAGCACTGCAGCAATCCTCACCTGGTACTTTCAGTTCTCATTATTTAATTGATGGATTTGAGTTTTCATATTCCTATAAACTGTTCGCACACAGTGCAGCGTTTCTCAAGCCAAGAGTCCCAAGTGAAAATACCTCAAGATAATGACACAAACTTGAGGGCCCCTCAGAGTTTCCTTTTAAAGAGGACTTGAGCATGTGACACTCTGAGAAAACCAACCAAAAAAGGCATCAGTGGCTTCAATATTTAGAATATTGTTTTATTTATTTTGGGGTTAGTCCAAAGTCGGTGAATATGAAAAAAAAAAATCAAAAACGAAGAGGCCAAATCTAAGATTAGCTATTCTAGGAAAAAAAAAAAAAAAAGTAAAAAAGAATAACTTTCCCCATACACTGCCATCTTAAAGGCACAAGAGGGTAACTAATTATGTAAAAACATACTCAGCTATCACAGCAATCCAGGCTTGGTGAACACTGACTAGGGGGAAGCCCTGCAGAAAAGGTTCTCAGGGTCCTGATGGGCAGTGAACTGAGCTCTGCCAGCAGAAAGGTCGAAAACAGCCTAGGCTATATAAACAGAAGTACAGCCAGTAGGCTGACAGGCATGATTATTCCCCTCATCTCAGCACTCAGTAGGCTGGATCCAGAGTACCGCATCAGTTTTGGAGTTCAGCAGAAGGTCTGCAGGATGCTCAGGGGTCTGGAGCACTTGTCTTATGAAAAGAAACTGTGACACTGAGGCGGTTCATCCTGGTTAAACTTCGAGAGTGCTTACAACAGCTCTCAACACCTGTGGGAAAGAAATCAAGGAGTTGTGTGAGGCTTTTCACAGCAATGAATGGTGGGAGGATGAGAAACTATGAACAAAAGCTGAAAGCAGAGAGGTTCAGAGAGAAGATAAGGAGATCCTCTTCCCCTGGGGACAGATAGGCAGGGGTACAGGTTGCCCAGGGAAGTTGTGCTGAGTCCATCTGTGGAGTTTTCCAAGCCTCAAAAGGGCACAGCCCTGAGTAGCCTGCTGTAAGCTCAGAGGTGACTGTACCTGAGTGGGAGGGTGCACCAGAGTCCTCCTGACCTCCATTCCCTTTCAAATATGCCTATGATCTTTCAATCCTTTAGAAATAATTTTTTTACAGCATTATTACTTAGAAAATTATGTGGACCACAATATCTGATGCCTAGCAACCAGCAGAGCAATTCCTGGAAATCCACATAAAGAGAGTTGCAGGGGCTGGACTCTGTACTTATTAGGTGCTTTTTACCATTGAAATGGCACATTACACTCAAAGGAAAGTCTAAGAAATTGTTTGACTGCTTTCTGATACAGATGTGACAGAGCTTAGGGTATTAGTCAAGGTGGACTAAGTCATTATGTCAGGCCTGTACACATTGTGCCTCAAACAGATTGTTACCTGATCAGCACAAACAGAAAACAAATGAAGGATCCAGGGACCTTTTGAAGGTCAGTATTGGAGTATAGCTTTATGCCATGCCTACTCATAATGCTAGTCATCGGGACATAGGTCTTCAGAAAGCATGGGAGCAAAAGGGAGAGAAATCCCCTGTGTTGTTACTTTTCTTCTCACAGAGCCCCATATCCCCTCTCTATCAAACAAAAACAGATTAAAGACCTATTGTTCAATTGATTCAGGTGGTGCAATGACAAGGATATCCCAAAGCAAGGAAGCAATTTTATTGCCTTACCTTCTACAACCACAAGCACTCTCTGCTCCAAATCCACTTCTTCCTGTAATTCTGTGCTTCTCTGGAAAATATTTCTGACCGCATGTGTGCAGAAAGCAAACTAAATTATCCCAACGAGCCTTTTGGATCTTACAGTCTAGGAATTGAGCTGTGTCCATTTGATATAGTAGACTGAAATGAAAGAAAAGAATATGGGAGAGAACATAACTCTCTGTGGGTTGAGCCTACCTTTTTATTCTGAAAGCCTGTTTGATTTAATTACTTGCCCTTAAGGTGAAGTGTTCTTGAATGACAAAAATAATTAAATAAAAACAAGACAGTGATCTTTGTGCTAGTAAGGGCATATGAATAATAACACTATGACCTACTAGCAAAGGAGGGGTAGGGGAGGAAGAAAAACACTGGGTACTGGGACTCCCTCTTCATTGGTCATCCCAGAGCATCATGTGGCCACGGCTCCTTTTTAAAGATAAGTCCTCATCTCCTGGAGCTCATAATATCCTCCTGTCCTGCATTTCTGTTTGAACCTGTGGAAGATATCTTTCTAGCCTGACAAGATGTGCGACCAGTTTGTGGGCACCTGGAAGCTCCTTTCTAGTGAAAACTTTGAGGACTATATGAAAGAACTGGGTGAGAACTATTATTTTGAGTTGTTGTATTTGGGACAGGGAAAAATACTGATTTTGAACTTTATTCTTTACTTGCTTTTTCTGGCTATGCTATTTATCAAGGGGGTTTTAGTCCTACTATTTTGATCAGATGGTCTCTAACTGGAGAACTCAGCTGTTGAATTAGTGGTATTAAATTACTATAAAGTAGAAAAACCTTGATTGGGAGGAATAATGGCAGGTAAATCAAGTCTGTGCATGCGTGAATTAGCTTTTATCCTTGAACGTGCAAATTGGTGTGGTGCTAGAAAGCAGCAAGCTTCTCTATGTCTGAAAGCAACACACCCAAACAACTTTACATTGTTACTGGACTAAGACACCAATTAATTGCCATGGCTATTATAGTTAATGAAACTCTGCATGTGCCTCCAGTGAATATTAACAAAGCAAATTGTATGGATTCATGCAGATACTTGCAAAGATTTGATGTCTAACACTTTTCTTTAAAAGTGTAGACTTCTTGCTTAAAATTGGGCTTTAAAAATTTTCGACATTCTGTTAGTGTGGAGGAAGCATGGGGTAACTTGCACTGATTCAATTAGTACATGGTAAAAAAGCTGGGGGGTTATTTGCAGATTAGGGGTAAAGTACTCACTGTGACTTATGCAGCATCCAAAAGCTTTCAGAGAGTGAGACTCTTGCACTCTTAATCTTTACTCCAGATTTTACTCAGGATGTAACCATTGCCAGCTATTTCTTAATCATTTCCTTATATTCAGCCTAGCCACTGATAAATCTAAAAAGTACTTGCGCTTTTTTTCTCCTTGTTTGTTTGTTTGTTTCCTTGCTTTTGTGGCTTGGAAACTGTCATATATTTCTGCTTATTTATGTTTAGATAGCTTTAGCATATAAGTTAGAGTACAAACTACCTCAGTTGTTCTGAACAAGTCCATGTGCAAAAATCTGACATTAAAACCTTGTCTTGGCCTTCACACTGTTTTGAAAATGACAGAGTAGAGAATTTCCTTACATCAACCCACCCAACTTGGTCCATAGTAGTTCCAAGCTAGTGAGATGTTACAAAGGAACGTGTGCAACATAGAATTATTGAAATTCAGAAAGCAATAGGGGAAACAGCACTGAAGGTGGTTTTTTTGTTTGTTTGTTTGTTTGTGGGGTTTTTGTTTGTTGTGGTTTTTTGTTTGTTTGGGGGTTTTTTGCAACACATAAAAAACCACATTGAGCAAAGATAAAAAATTGTGTATTTATAGGTGTGGGGTTTGCTACCAGAAAGATGGCTGGTGTGGCCAAGCCCAATGTAACTATCAGCATCAGTGGTGATGTGATAACCATCAAAACAGAAAGTACCTTCAAAAATACAGAGGTCTCTTTCAAGCTGGGTGAAGAGTTTGATGAGACCACAGCAGATGACAGAAAAACAAAGGTGAGTTCAAAACTGGCACTTTGCAAATACACCTCTCAAATGGGATGTGGGAGCAGGATGGCAGAGCTGTGATTTTTGACACTCAGTGTAGAAATGCTGCCCTCACAGGTAAGACTGCAATGGATGCTTGTGCTCAGTGCCATTTGGACATGGAGATAGTTTTCTCTTCAGCCCAGAGCAGCCTGATGAAACAGCCACACTTTGTTTTTTTCCTTTGGCAGAATGTCATAACCCTAGACAATGGCGTACTGAACCAGGTGCAGAAGTGGGATGGAAAAGAGACCATCATAAAGAGAAAAGTGGTGGATGGAAACCTGGTGGTGGTGGGTTCAATTTTTGTTAATTAAGCTGTGAATTTAGCATGCAGAATTCATGTTTGGCTGATGTATGACTTTGGATTCAAAGGAAAAGGGAAAAAGAATCATAAAGGTTTCTGTGCGCTTGGTGAGAAGTCTCTCTGAATGAGTCTGGAGTGTGGATTAGAACTTAAGTGTTGTCAAACTTACGGAATGGTATGGAGATGCCTGTCTCCATTCATAGCAAGGCATGCTTAGGAAAGTGTAGGAAGAAAAAAAACCAATATCCCTATGAGGGAAATTTTTGTTTTTATGTATCAGAATCTCAAAGTCCTGGATAGTATAGAGGAAGCATTAGCAATGTCCATGTTAAGTGCATCCACTGTAAGAAATCTGCTGTTTTTTCTTCAGCAGAGGCCCAACAGCCATCTGTGGGAACCATCTCATGCATCATCAACAACTGTGTCAATAATATGATGTTTGAGCTAAAAAGGAAACCTGTGTCCAAGCTCCCTGTTGGTTGGTTTTATCTGGTCATAGACTGTTGCGCTTTTCTTGGTGCCAGTAAGGCCCACCTACAGTCTAGGGCTTCCCAGCACAGTTTTAGGAAACACACTTTGAAGAATCTGGGAGAGGACTAAAACTGTGTTCATTTCTGGCAGCTGAGATTCCTATGTGCTGCAAAATGATACACATACATGAAATTCCCAAAGAGTTCTGCCCTCCCCTAGGGAAAAATAATATGTCCATAAATTTAATATTTAAATTTCTTTGGATAGAGACCAGAGAAGAAGAAATAGAAATAGTTTTTAATAACAGCTTCATCAAGAAGGACTGAACAAAACAGAGTTTGATCTAACAGAAAAACAGATGAGGACAGAGCCTAACATGCAGAGGCTGACACCAGCAGCTGCAAGTCTGAAAGCTCCGTGTGTGTGCATGTGTTATGCACACATGTGAAAAAGACAAGCCACAGCTGCAAAAGGTGAAAGGAAAAAAAAGGCTAATGCCCAGCTCCAGAGTCCAGTCACCCTCCATAGAAGTCTTAGGAGCCTTCTCTATAGATTTTTAAAAGATTAGAACTCTCCTGGAGGTCGCCAGAGCAGTCCTTTAATGTTCTTTCAGTCCTGTGTTGTATTTAGACTTCTGTTTCTGAAGATCTCAAAATTGTTTCACTGTTTTGACGACTGGTATTAGAGGAGGAGAAATGCAAATCTTTCTTACACTGATTCCCAATGACAAGTACTTCTCTACCTTGTGACTAACCAATATTTAGTGAGAATTAAAAGCTGATTGAATTCATCTTTCTTTCCAGGAATGCACCATGAATAATGTTTCCTGCAAAAGAGTTTATGAAAAAGCATGAAGAAGACACCTTCACGCAGGACTAATGCTTGAAGCTGGAGAAAACCCACTTAACCAAAGGAGAAAAACTCCTCAAATCTGTTTTAAAGAGAACTGTACTTTTTTCATATATATCCCAAAGCAGTTACATGCAGCTAGTCTAATTTGTCACGCCTATTCAATAAAATATTCTGCTTTCTACAACGTGGGCTTGTGCTGGACTTTGTCAGAACGGGGAATGTAAGAGGTTGAGGGGAATGTAATACAGGAAAGGATGCAGGAAAGCATAGTGTGAAAGGCAGTACCACACTCAGTAAATGTGACCCATCTCACTGCGGAAAGAGGATCAGAGTCAATCCAGTGAGTGGCATTTGTGTGGCAGTGACAGATGTAGACCTGGACACAGAAACATCATCTGGTGAGTGCTGCGTGTAGGCTCCCCTCTGCAAGGAGTCTGTGCACACCCAGGGGAATAAAGTGGTTGCTCTTCCTGGCTTGAAGCCAAAGTTGTTGCTCCTGGGACAGGGAGAAGGACAACCTATGGATGCTTGTGGATGCTGTGGATGACCAGTGTTGGCTTCCAAACGTGAGCAGGGTATCAGGCACCTTCTCTATGTACAAATGCAGACAATTTTAAGCCTGGGTACCATCTGAAGTGACTTGATGTTGTCCTTTAGCTCTTCAAGAGTGAAATTACAGCTACTGTAGATTTAATCTGTGATTATTTTTTAATGTGCTTTTCTTTAACATCTCATTTTGTCCTAGATTAGACAAAAAGCCTTGAATTAAGAATCATACCTAAAAAGCACTCCCAGGTTTACTAATAGCTTATACAAGTTTGCTAGTGCTACAACTTCATTCATTACCTACATGCATTTTCTACTAGTTCATTAGGTTAGGTTTGATCAGTCTTGGGAACGTGAGCCTCTCTAGATGTCAAGCCCTTTGGACACTATGTTTTCAACTCAGCTTATTTTCAAACTATGTTCTTTTAATGCTCATAAGCCTGGTCTCCTATTTCAAAACTCTGCAACCACAGAAGCTATGATTTCTACACCTGGGAGGACTCAAACTGAGGACAAAACAATGAGAGTTCTAGGGAAAACCTGGACAATAAATCTCAAAATACGTGCATTAACCACTAAATGGGGAAATGACCGTATCTCAAGCTCTGCGATTAGGATCTGTGAACTAAATTCCTCATATTCCTGACATTCCTGAGGTCAGTTCTCAGAGGGGACCATGCAGCAGAGACCTTACATACACTTGAACTTTCCTCTGCATGACTCAGACTGTTCCCGAGTTTTTGTACTGCTTATACAACTAAAGAGGGAAAAAGGAAGGACTTCTATACTCTGCATGAGCTGAGAAGTAGTTTAAAAGCAGGTCCAAAAGACTATCAGTAAATCCTGCAGGAAATGTTAAAAGAGCCATGAACAAACATCTCCTCTGTTTTAACTTTGGCTTCATTGCTTATGAAGTCTCATCAACTTAAAAAACAGCAGTTGCAGATTAGTGGTAGAAAATCTACATGGGAGAGATAATTGTAAGAATCAGAAACATTGACTTGAATAAGCTACATATAGACATTAAATATCAACCCATAATTAAATAAATGCCATTGTCCACAGATTTGGAAATACTGCATTTCAGAGGTCAAATTTCCAATATTTATATAGCAGCCTTTATTTTCCAGAAACCTTATATTCTCAATACAACCAACAGTTATAGTTTGAGCATTCACAGCTTAGTATTTCAGAGGCAGGTAATTTCTTCTGAAAGCATCTCCATTTATTTTAGTACCTGGTGAAATAATTCAAACTTTGTGAATTAATCAAGCCACTTAAACTTCAATTCTTGGAAATTTCAATAAAGTGACATTCTATTTATAAATTTTAACAGGTACCACACCATAACAAAGTATTAGTGAAGCTTTTCTTAGAATATGAATACATCTGGAATTTATTTTCTGAAGAAGGCAAAAATTTATTGTCTGAAAAAGGCAGCAGCCTAGTGAATTATTGAATTAATGGAGGTGATTCCTCTCAGACCTGGACAGAGGTGACAACACACATTTCTATGGACTAAAGGCAGATCAGTGGCTTGTCCCTCCCTACAGGGCAGGACAGGTCTCCCTCACTCTTCTGTTGTGCTGAATTATTCTCCAAAAATCAGAAACCACCTCATAGCATTACGGAAAAAAAGGGATCTCCCCAAACCATTACAAACCCTTGGGCAACACACTTATTGAAGCAGGTACCCTTGAATGCTGAGAGGAGGAGATCTTTGCTCCTAAGCATATTCAGTCACTACTACAGGTTACTGGGATGACAAGAGAGAAAGGGGATTCACACACATAGATTTTTAGCAGCTCACGAGAAAGAGGAAGCAAGACTTATTCTGAGCATTGACCTTTCTGTTATTTTTATGTTTATTTTTTAACTCTTTGTTTCCACTGGAAAGGAGTTGAAGGACTTTTGCATCCTGGCCAGTGAAGAACCATGTGCACAGTGCAGTCTGGACTCATTCCCCTGGCCCCAGTTGTCCTGCTCTGCTTATGTAGGATGCTCCATCTAAGGGAACAAGAAACTATTTGCACA